ATTCCATTACCGTTTAATGTCAGCAGCAGTCACTGCGATTGCCACAACTACACCAGGGAAGGGATAACGCTGTGCAGTGCTACGTCCCTGAAATCCTTTGCACCCCTGTTTATGCAGCAACCACAACTGCAGCTCAGTGCAGGCTCTAACTGCAAATTTAACGAAGGCAGTTCATGTTGGTCACCTTTAAGCTTTCTGCTTATTGTGAACGTAATAACAATAAAATAACAAAAGCAGTTAAGTAATAAAGAATAATATTACTATTGACAATGATTATAGTTATAACAACCGTGATAAATAAAAAATGGAATGAATATTAGTAAGATATTTTCAAAGCAGATAACCAATATGCGTCGAACATATCGACTGTATTATTTTACAAAAGATCATGATAGAAATCCATACTAAGCAAAAGCAAGAAATCCTCTTCATCTCAGAACAGTTCAACTTCTTCTCTCTGTAAAGTCTTCTAATGTTTAAATAGCAAAAGCCTACATTATCTTTCCAAATATTTGTGTACCTGTTCTCCCCCACATTCGCTGTGCGCTTCGATGATAGACACATCATTCGATGTTGTTTCACGTTGCCATCTTTAGTATTAACTTATGTCCTCCAGAGGTTTTCTGGCACAGCGGGTTAAGGCAGCTTTTCTTCTCGTTCTTAGCCCCCTTCCTATACACTGGATCAAAATGTCTGCACTTTTTCCACTTCCACTGTTTTGTTATGAAGACTTATTTACGTTATTTCACTTTGTGCGATATTACTAATTATAAGAATAGGTTAAAAGTGTAAAAATTTTTTAGAGGTGCAAGGGAAAAGTGCGAAAGTGAAAAACAGAAAGAACGAAGAAGAGAATAGCTGGGAAAGGAAAGGACGGACGAAGTGGGGAATATAAGAAAGAAAAGAGATAATTATTAATAAAATCATTATCAAAAAGACAAACCGGCCACAGTCACTTTCCTGACCTTGAAATTCGAAGTCGTTAAAAATCCGAGCTGTTGTACTTCTTAATGGAAAAGAATAAGCTATGGTATAAAATCAAAAAGCGGGCGTACGTCTGAATCTGTGTATATGATGGCGATTTTTAAAAAATAAATAAAAAATAACCCAGGCTGCAACGCACCATGCTTACCAGTGCGGTCATCCATTCTTGCGACAAGCTTGCAGATCGCTAGCAGCAGGAACGGTGCGCTACAGCTTAACACTTGGACTCGTATTGACTGTGTTTTGAACTCCTTTGGTAAGCAGAGGGAGAGGGCGTCGGTTGGGATGAGGATATTGCACTTTAAGGCCGCATGACCTCCAGGTGCACGATTATCAGTTTTTTGCATGAAGCCCGGTCGTTTTTTCTGTGAATGCTCGTTCACTGAAAAAATGGAAATTTGAAAGAAGTCCGAACAGGATTATGAAATTTGCAAAATACACTCGCTTTTGAGTTTGCGATAAAACTAAGTATTTGCCATATCTGCGTGAATGGAATTTTATCCCCAAGCTGAAATAATACCACACGTGAATTCAGAAATCCTTGCAAAGTTTCAGCTTCGCAGCTTGCCTGGTAAGCAAAATAACCACTCCGCTACAAATATATTAGAAATGCCTTAAGTCGTGGCGCATGTGTAAATCGAAACTCATCTTAGATATACGATTTCTCATATGAATGAAAAATACGCTGACAAAATTTCAGCTGCTGTTTTCCGTTTGCACAGTGCAACTGAGAACTTTGACGTGATCATACTCGCGGTATAAGCGTGCGCGATAGCTGAATTTGAAATCCTTAGCTGACACATGCACAGAGAATACCCCTGCAGAATTTCAGTTTCCTGTCTTGTCTGGTTCGTGAAATCGTTTCCTGCCAAAGAAATTTACATACTTTTTTCTTCGGTCCGTACCCGAGATCTAGGGACGTATGAGCGAAGATTTTAAAACGGGAAGGTGAAAAGTGGAATGGAACCCCAAAATTTCAGCTTCCAGCCTTCCTGGTTGCTGAGTTGAAAGTGGGTGACAAAGCTCACTCGCTTCCGAACACATACACACAGACGACCTTTCGACAGTATGTGTTTTTGCTCGCTGCAGCAGCACTGTAGCGCTACACAGCAAAAGCGCATTAACAATTTGCTTATATTAAGAGCGTAGTATAAAGAAATTATTACAGCGTATAAACTTATGTGTGTGGATGTTTAATTGTATGTGTTTGTGTGTGTGTGTGTGTGTGTAATAATTTCTTTATATTACGCTCTTTTTCTTTATACTAAATTTCTTTATACTAAATACTAAATTTATACTAAATTTCCTTTATACTAAAATTTTCTTCTTTATTTTCTTTATTTCTTTATACTAAATTTACAGATCCCCTTGAATTTTCCGAACGCATACGTGCGTTCGGAAAATTCAAGAGGATCTGTAAATTTGTAGAAGAGCTCCTTCGACCTCGTTAAAAGCTTCGAAAAAATTTAAACTTTTAGCTGTTTCTGGAGCCAGACCGACGACCTTAGATTTCAATCTTTCCTGTTTTTTGTATTTCTACGTACTGTAAAAAATCAGAGGAATAAAATTCTATGGTTTAAATGAAAAATATAAAAAGCCACATTTACAAAATTTACTTCATCAAATAAAGAGCAACAAATAACTCAGGTTGCACGCGGACGGTTTGCAGACTGGCGCAAATTTCATAACGTCGTCAACTTCCTCAGGACTATGTTCACGTCCTCAGTACCACTTTGCTGAAGGCAGTGACGTGCAGATGGAAAATCTAGTCACTAAACGATTTCGGAAGAGCGAACGCCGGCGTGATAAAGGTGCAATGGAGTAATGTTTTAAACATTCAGGCTTTTTATTAGGTGAAAGGAGCATAGGATGCAGTTCGAAAGCGTAATCGTCTTAACAGCTGAGGAAGTCACGTATTAGTGAATTCCATTCACGAGGAAGTAGGCGACCATTCAGAACTAGCGCGCAAGCATCGAGCATGGTGGGCGGAAGGGTGAGCACTGCGGAAATATGCAATTCAGGATCGAAGGGCTCTACAGAGTTATACTAGGCGAATGAAGTCATTTTAATAACCATCACTAATGCTGGATCACCACACTGATTGTCCATTCCGTTTTGATATTCTTGTTACTAAAACAACTCGGAATCTGGCGAAACCACAGGCATGCTCTTGACATCGCTTTTGCTTTACACAGAAACGCATGGCACAAAAACAGATTTTTTAGATAAATACTGTTTGGAACGGGATACCATACTGTTAAAAAACACAGAAATCGGAAGCTTTAGAGACATGTGATTCACTGAAAAAGAAATTGGCACTAAGAGGTTTTTTGCGCCTAAAATGCCGTCAGTATAGTTCTCTCTTTCAGGATAGGATAAGCTCTTCCATCACCATGCATTATCGCTTTTCCGAGATCTTTTGATTCAAGAAAACAATCGAAGAGTTAAAGACGTGCTGGAATGGATTGCCTTTATTATGCATTTTTTCCATCTGTGCGATGTGTGTGTGTGTGTGACTATTTGTATATGTGCGTGTATCGTTTGTTCGGGTTTTTCGATTACGAGACCTATAGGTCCATGATCGTATTCATTTGCAGTCCTTGTGACAGTTCGTGAAAACTTTTTGGCGATTCTCTGTTCGCATAGCTAGAAACACCTATTGGAAAAAAGTGCTATTTAGCGCTAAACATTTAAGGGGAAAACTGTACAAAATCCCCCATACGTTCGCACCTGTAAACCTGATGCGCGTGGCTACTATGTTTTTCAAAGTGGCAAAAAACCAGTAATAAGCTGACTGCCAGGAAACTGATGGGCATTTGTCATTACTATGTTGCTAGTGGCTGACAGACAAAGTCAACGCATTCTTCGAAGAAGGCCTGCCTTGAGAACGAAGCCATTTATCATGCGACTATGGGAGTTGGACATTTGGAAAAAATTATTTCAATTATTTACAACTGCGAATTTGCTCAAAAAGTCCGTGAAATTTCGGCAAAGTTGTGCAGGCCAACGTCTCATCATCATTATTTTTGTCTACTTGCCTACTAGGTCGTGATTTTTCGTCCAATTCCAAGAATATTAAGAATTCAAAGACTGCCCGGACAGTCGGTATGGGTATCCCTTGTTAGTGACGTTACTGCTGTTCGGTTATAATGAAGATAGTTAACAACCTCCAAACTAATACTTCAAAAAGATTTTCTGGTTAGACTATTGTAGACATTACCTTCCAGCTTTATAGTATTCTACAGTGCATGTTGTTTTACGAACAAGTGTTATAGATAAGACTGATCAAGCAGTCATATAAGCTAATCAGTCTATGTTTCATCCTTTAGCTATAAATCCAGCAATCTCAAAATGTAAGTGTAAACTTTACCTAGCTGAAAGCAAACAACAACAACGCATGTTTCAGAACTTTGAAACAGAGCGAATACAGTTGTCCGAAGAATGACTGGCTTCCCTTGCTTTGGTTAAACAAAGAAAAGCCCTAAATTGTCGTATCAGAAGGCCTCTTTATTTTTTGGCTAAAATAGCGCTAATGTGATTAGTCACTGTCTTTGAACTGCCAACAAGTTGAAGAGGACAATACACTGCTCAGCATAATAACTTCGCCCACTTTCATAAAATCAATTCAGTATTTCAAGTTTTAAAAATTTTGTTTAAATGGCACAAAATCAGCCAGTGATTAAAAGATCAGAAGAAAATACGCATAAAAAAATGTAATGCCCCATCACTTACTGGAAAACCTGGTAGAAGATTACTGTTGAAAAACCAGGCAACAATAATAAAACAAGGTTCAGTGGGTATTACAAAGCGAATGGTACCAGTGCAGTAAGGACTGCAATCAAAATAAATTCGAAAGTCTGTCTGGTTGATAATCCCAGCCAATAAAACCTAATAAAGCGATAAGTTATTAAAGCTAAGACCAGTTAGACAACTGTGGCCATTATCACACTTGCAACAGTATGCTCGTTATCAGCATGACCATCGTCAACAACAGCAAAAGTAACAAGAAATCATTTTTAGCACAACGTCATCATAACATGTCGAAGTTTCATTTTCGAATATGGCTGTAGCTGCATTTGAGGTAAAATTAAAACAGTTGCAAAAGAGTTAATCACAGCATTCGGCGAGACAGCAGCCGCAGCAACATGCCAACAACGCCCATAGACAGCATTTACCCGCATCGGTACCTGAACTTCGAGCAGGCGGCGCTTGCTGTCTAAAACAAATTCCATTCTGAACTGACAAAGAAAACCATAAAAATTTTCATGGAAATCCACGAAGTTTCAAAAAATACAAGTAAGTGATCTCTTTCAATAAACACTCCAGAAGTTTCCGGTGGAAATTCCAGGAAATCAGTGGCAGTCCACAATGAATTAATCACCACAGGCAAAGTAACTGGAGCTAGAAATTACAATGAAAATGCAAAAATGTACATAATAAAATTACTGCCTTTTAAAGATGCAAAATTTAGAAGAAAGGCTTTTTGAAAAAAGATACATCTGGATGAAGCGTCACTGCCTTTGAATCTTACGATGGATAAGGAAGAGGGATGGGGGTGGGGGTTGACCCGTTCAACCTAATACCAGGCTGGTATCATAATGCAGTGAAAACATAGCAGCAATTTAAGTAGTTGTTAGCAAATACTGAATGGACGTACACTACTGGCGGCTGCTGACCACCATATGCGTAACCGTACGCAGGCTGACTCGTGTAATATGGTTGCTGAGGATAGCCATACATTGGTCCGCCATAATTCTGCTGCTGTGGGTACTGGAAAATAAAATTTCTGCTTATGAATTTGTGAAATAAAATGCTTAAAATAAATTTTTCAAGGGTAATTTTTTGAAAAATTTTGCAGAGATTTATGGATTTTCAAAGCAATCCGCCACAATATTGTGTTGTCCCGCCCAACAATCGCTTTTATCTGATTCTAGAAAAAACTGCGCTAAGATTTAATCAGTTAACAGAAATCAGTAAGGTTTGGAAGAGGAGCGAAAAAATTGCATTACTGATAAAAATCGAGATACTGAAGATATAATTTACAGTTTGAAAAAAATAAAAATCCCAATGTGCTTATTCTTATTAAACGAGATGTCTGATCCTAACTTGTCTGAAAGTGCACGCTTTTTGCAGTTTCAATACCAAATTCGCACCTCACAGCACCAATGCAGCCAGGTTTATTAACCAAAGCAAGAAATTTTTCCGTACTTAACAAGGAGAAATTAACACTTCTAGAAATACAATGTTGAAAGTTTTTCAATTTACTGCTTGATGCTTTGAAAGTGAAAATAATATAATTAATGCAACAAACCAGCTTGTAAAAAAAGTATTATTTTTCTGGCAAAAAGCCGGAATCTCATCACTTATTTAAAGAAAAAGAGAACAATTACTCCACCTTTTTATGCGTTTTGTGCTGTGTAACAGCAGTACAAAACGCATATTGTTACGGGGTTGT